AAAGACATCAATCAATATAATTTTCCAAAGGAGAAAAATGAACCTGTTGTCAACAGGATCCTATACATTCGTGATCTCTCCCCAGCTTGGCTGGGACACAAAGAGATGGCAACTAAAGTCTGACACAAAACCAGGAAGAGATCGTAAGGCACCTGCTTCCAGGTCACGTGTGGGTTCCGATAATCTGGACTGCCACTTCGTTACAGAGACTGGCGGCAAATGAAGCATCCTCTCTCGGAGGAAAACATTTCAGAGACTCACAGGTTTTAAAAAATCATTTCCATAGAAAAACAATACCAACATTTCTGAATAATTTTTAGAAGGAGGTTAGTCATGATAATATGTTAAACTAACAGTATGATCCCACTCAACAGGGTAACAGATGCCGGTAGAGAATGACTGAAAGACCCCATCAGGGGTGTCTCATGGAGGAATTTCATGGTGACGTGTTTTCTGAGCCAACAGGCAAGCTCTGTGTAAATAACTCTGTGGCTTAGTTTCTTCATCTGGAAATGACAACAGTCTCCTCCTAAAACGGCTTTCGAGATGATGAAATGAGTTAATATAAAATAAAGCACTTGGGACAGTGTGGCCAAGTGAAGCTCTCATCATAATCAGTGTTTTCATAGGGGCTTCCATAGTTTTGTAAAACGTTATGTCTACATATTACAAAAAAAGTTACTATTATTATTTTTTTTAATTCCTGGAGACAGGGTCTTACTCTGTTGCCCAGGTTGGTTTGTAGTGGTGTCTTCATAGCTCACTGCAACCTAAACTCCTGGGCTCCATCAATCCTCCTGCCTCAGCCCCCTGAGTCACCGACACTACAGGTGTGTGCCAGAACACCTGGCTAAATTTTCCGTTTTTTATAGAGATGGGATCCCATATGTTGCTCAGCCTCGTCTTGAACTCCTGATCTCAAGTGATTCAGCCTCCCAAAGTCCTAGGATTATAGGCAAAAAATGTTATCTGGACAAAACCATCACTGAGGACATTTTACTAACCAAGAACAGAAATAGACTCAAGCTATCGCCAAATGAGCCTCTGCTTTTCCAGATTCAGTCCTCTACAGGGTGCCAACCAAATCTTCTCCAGATTCAACAGGCAGAAAATTTAAATGTCATAACAGAGTGGATATTACTTTTTGTTCATCAATAGATATTCCACAAGGAAAAACAATTATTGTAGTAAATAGAAGTCAGGGAAAGCATTCAACCTCATTGGATAATTTTAAAAATAAGAAGTTAAAACATGTTAACTCTTTTCGAATACTAAGTTAACCAGAAAAAAAAATATTTTTAAAGATATGACCCAATGCTGCCAAAACTAAAATCTAGCCACAGTTCTCACACACTGCCAGTCAGACAGCAAATTGGAGCAAATCTCTAGCAAAACAAGCGGGCCGTCTGTGTGGAGCGCCAGAAAAGGTGCCTGCCCTTCAACCCAGTCATTTTATTTCTGAGAATTTAGCCTAAAATAATTCATCAAAACAGGGGGAAAAGTTATGTCCACCCTCCTATTTACAACAGCAAATATTATTTCCAATAGGTAGAAAACCAGAAACCAGCGAAATGCTGACCAATAAGTAAATTGATTATATTAATCAAGTAAATGGCATTAAAAGCAAGAAAGAGGAAAAAAAACACGATCATGTTAACATGTTTAAATGTTTCATGCAAGGAAAAGAAATCAAAATATAAAGCTGTATACTCATGCTAATTACAACTGGGAAACAAACAGTGTGAATGAAAGCTTCCAAGATGCTGACGGTGGCCCTGAGTACAGACTCCATACGCCAATCCTTTATTTTTCTCCTCCCTGGCCCCAATTTTCACAATATGAGATTTTATTACCTTTGTAGTAAAAAAATAACTTCCTGTCTTAGGAAAATCTTTCCTCCGCTGTGGCTCACCACTGCAAACCCCACCACAACACATCTCTCTGGCTCTCCCTGGCCCTTTGAAAGGGCAAGAATTCTCTCTTTTTAAAGTGTGTTATCTTCTCAAGGCCAACACAGGGCACTTAGGCCTCATCTCTCCCCTTAAGCACCCAATTGGTTCAAAGAAGCCAAAAAAGGGCTCTGTGACCCATCAGCTTGTCTCTCTTCAAGAAGAAGGCAACAGGACTTCCACATGGACCACTCCCAGGGTGTCCTCGAAAAGGCTCAAGTTGGTCACCCTGCAGCCCTCAGCCCTGCCACCTTGGCTCTGGCTGAAATCAACGGGTAGGATAGGTTCCTTAATTGACCTTAAACATTATGATGGGCAGAAGTTAAAAAGTAGGAGAGTTTATTCACCCAACAGCAGGGGAACGGTTAAGTTACAGTGTATCTACTTCGTGGCACCATTAGGCAGCCTCCCGAAATAATTGTAAATACCAAATATAGGATGCAGCCTAGGGCCTCTACTGTTAAGTAGGAAAAAACAGGCAATGCAATCAAACGTCCCCATGACCATGACCATGACCATGACCATGCAAAAATAGTTTCTGAGACTGACCAATAATAGCTGATGTTTACAAGCCAGCTCACCTTGCTGTGTGCCTTGCCCATGATACAACTTCACCCTAATGCTAAGCATTGGAAGCACCGTTACTCCCATTTTGGAGAGAAAGAAACTGAGGCACCAGAAGGTTAAAGAATTCTCTTTAATCCTCCCAATGGCTACGGTTTAGAACATTCTGGTAACTTTCCTAAGATCACGTAGTCCCTAAACAGGGAGAAAGACTTAGATATGGACATAAATAGTCTTTCTCCAGGGCTCGCAACTCCGAAAATAGAAGGCGTATATAAGAAATTTAAAATTAAAGTAGAATTTGTTTTAGAAAGTGAATTTTTTTTTTCCTTCTCTCTGTTTAAAACTTTCGAATCTTCTTCTGCTGTCACAGTTTAAAGACAAAAAGAAGGGGCACAGAGAAGAGGTTAAGGCATGTTTTGATCAAGGGAATAAATAAATGCCAGTCAAGCTTCTACCATCCTTGGGGTTATGGGGAGGAAAGAATGATGGAGGACGGACAAGAACAAGCCGTTTCCAAACTAAACCAAGAGGCTCCAGGCAGCCGCTGGCAACATCTTTGCTTAACATCTCTCTCCACCACTTCTTCCGTTTGAGCATGAATTCCAAAATCAAGGGACTGGACTGACAGGGGACCAGAATGTCAGAGTACATAAATATCACATCGCTGCTGGGACACAGTACCAGTTAGGAATCCACTCTAAATCCTGCATTTTTCACAAACCGATCACATGCTGAATATTCCCAGGTTGGCTAATAAAAATCTGCATTTACTCGAGCTCAAATACACACCCTCTCCCCCAAATGGGTAATTCTGCACCCTTGTGTATTATTTGACACTCTTCAAAACTGGACAGATGATAGCACTCACATATGCTATCTCATTTGAAACTCAAATTACAAATGTTACAATTCCAGAAATGTTGAAGCCAGGCTAGAAACGGGGAAAGGCTGAAATAAACATAGCATTTTTCTTTAATTCTAAAAATTAAAATGCACTGTGTATAATCTATGATCAATTCAGAAAAATCAAAGTGAAATAGTCCACCCTCCAAAAATACCCCCAACTTTCCCATCCCCAAAATTTCTCCAAAGAGTAGGAGTAGGCCTCAGGGATGCTGGACCCCTTTGGTAGGGGAAGGGCCAGTCTCAGAGCGGGCAGTGTGGTCCAGAAGGTGGGCTCCGAACCCAATGTTCCTTCCCGTGTGCATCAGCAGACAGCCTCAAGCCCTCGTAACAATATGTTAGAGGTTCACATGATTATCCTATCCGCAGCAATCTCCTCAGATGACTTACCAGAGAGACAGGAGGTCCAGAGCCAGAACACACAGTTCCCCTGCCAGAGAGGCCACGTGGCCTGGTGCCCAAAGGCCGCGAAAGAGCTAAGGTTCAGCATCTAGTCACATGGTCCCAAGGCAATCACCCGTCAGACAACCTTGTGCCGACTATTCCCTGGCATGCTTCCTCCCAGCCAGGGTACCCAGGAGGACAACCACACGGGGTACACGGCCAAGCTCACTCTGCCTTTAAAGGGCAGGGGACAGGACCACTGTCCATGAATTCCCCCCAATTCACATCCCAGATGCTCTTTTTTTTTTTTTTTTTGTAAATTGTAACTGACCCAAATCTTTGGCAAACTTCAGAGACACGAAACGAGTAAAGAGCTAAAAAAGGGGGTGGGGGGATGGCAAAGGCCACCAGATCCTGGTGGTGCTCCTTTGTAGGTAACACCCCCAGCAAAAGCCCAGGCCAGGGCTCCTCAAACTTTTTAAGCAGGGGGCCCGTTCACTGTCTCTCAGACCATTGGAGAGCCGGACTGTGGGTCCCGGGACAAGTCAACTGCTAAGCAGGACAGGCAGCTGCAGCAAAAACACCCTGCAGGCAGGATAAATGTCCTAGGTGGGCCGCATGTGGCCCATGGGCCCTAGTTTGAGGACACCTGGCCCAGGCCATATCTATGGGTAGAGAAAGGGGAATGGGAAAAGCAAATTACTCTCTAGCTGGGACCAACTCTGGCTGGATACTTGGCATGATGCTACACCTCATTTAATCATCGAGAAAAGTCCACAGTGTTCTGCAAGATGATTACCAGCGCGAGTCACGGGGTCAGGCGGGCCTGGGTTCCCACGCCAGATCTGCCGCTTGCTGGTTGTAAGATACTGCAGCTACCTAACCTCGGGGACGCTCCGACGGCTCATATGTAAAGTGAAGGCAATGACAGTCCCCAGGAGGAGACGTTAGCAGAACCTGACGGTGGAGCACTCTGCTCCCCCAGAGCTGGGGCTCCGTCACCACCAAGACCTGCTTCTGCACAGACCACGCATATTTGAGACAAAGTGCAGATGGACAAGGCAGGACTGCCAGTCGGAGGCCCCAGCACCCCAGACTGCAGCAAGCAGAATGTGCCTGGTTGAAGCCAGCTGAGGACCTCCCCGCTCTGCCCCAGGAGTGCCCCCGCCACCCCCGGCACAGGGCCACCGCACTCACGACACTCCTTCTCGTCACTCTTGTCAAAGCAGTCGGGGAGCCCGTCGCACTGCCAAGCGCCCGGGATGCAGCGCCCGTTGCCGCACATGAAGTTGCCTGGAATGTTGCACTCGTTGGTGAAGTTGTTCCCCGGGAGCAGCTGGCTCTCTGTCGGGAGAGGGGACAGGGCGGTCAGACAGCACGTGACAGCAGGGAGGACCTGAGCCCTCACCCAACGGGAAGGACTTTTGTTCAGCACGTGTAAGGCTTCCAGAAGGTGACTTGACCTCTCTGGGACTCCAGTCTCCTCGTCTGGGAAAGGGGCTGATAACCTACCCACCCCAGCCCCGGGGATCCCGAGAGGACTAATGGGGAGATACAGAGAATGTGTTTAGCTGGCTGAAACCCTGACTTTTTTTCTTTCTCCACCAAAAAGATGGGTTATAAAATATAAAATCCAAATGTTCCTTTCTGGCCACCAGCAGTGGACAAAAATGTTCCAGATCGGAGTGAGAGCTGGATGCCCAATCTCTCCAACAGTAGGAGCGGCAGGATCTTTCTGGGCCCAGGCTCTGTAGCCCCTAGAATCACAGACTCCTTGAGTTTGGGCCAACTTGGCAGGAATACCGGGAGATCATTTCACTCTAGGAAACAGGAGCCCAGATCTACAAAATCACCCTGCCTGAGGACTCGGGTAGGAAAGGCCTACATGAAAATGGAACTCGGGCCTTTTAACCCTCAAGAGGGCACCATGGCCACTGAACTGCTTGTCAGGAGTTACCAGAGGTTGAGAACCAAGCCCCAAGGTTCAGATTCATCCCCACGGAACACCGTCATAAAGAGCCTCCACCCAAAACGGCCAATCCTTAGACTAGCAAGCAAACAGAGAAGGCCAGAACTATGGTGGTGACAGGGAGGTGGGGGGAGGTGGATTCATCCACCAGTGGACCCTGGGCCCAGATTTTCAAAGGAGCCAGAATCTGATCTTTGATTGATTTCATCAGTCTGAGGCAGTGTGATCAAAGGCTGGGAGTTAAGAAACCATCTGGAAGTAAAGGGGTCTTTAAAGGACGGGGAAAGTCCCAGTCCCTCAGCACACAGAGCTCCAGAGCTCCCTCCTGAGTCATTCCACAAGCATTTATTGGACATTTATGACCCGACACCTGAACTATATCCTAAAGACAGAGACGAAAGCTAAGGCTCCTTCCTCCACACTGGAAAGGCATAAGCCATGTCATAAGAAGAAACAGGGGTGTCCAGACATGGTAACAGGGGCCCTTGATCCACTTTCACAAGCTTTGCCAAAAAGAAGCATCTCTAGATCTCCAGACCTCTGGCATCAGACCCTCCTTCCTGCCACCATCCTTTATAATGCTGTTCCTTCCACCTGGGAGGCCCTTTGACCTGCTGGGTCTCCTAGTGTGATAAATCCCTACATACCCTTCAGCAAACAATGTCTCTGCTGCTTTCCCTCTGAAGTGTCCCCTTGCTTCTACTCTAAGCATCAGTGGGTCAGCACTTACTCTGTTATCACTTGGGTGATATTAAAAATATTTTTTCACTAAGACAAAATGGGCAACAACCAATGGGAATGGACGCAGCCACAAGCAAGCACCCCATTTGCCCCAGTGCCACAGAATCTCCCTCATGGACCACCTGCCTCACTACACTGAATTAATAACACATGCACGCCTCACTGCTGAAATTGAGCTTTCACAGCTCACCAGAGAACTCTACAAGAAAAACTGCAGTGCAGAGCTCCACCCTGCCCAACTGCCCACATCTGAGCCCTAGAAATCTCCCTTGTCCCCTCTTGCCTCCCCTAGAGATGGCAAATCACCAAGTCCCCAGCACCATGGCAGCAACTCCCTCCTCTCTTACCAGGACTGCTGCTCTACACGACCTCCCAACCTGGCCCTCTCTAATCCCTCCTCCCCTCTGTGGCCAGAAGGCTCTTTCTCAATAGCAAATCGATTGTGACATTTCCTTATTTTAAAAGCCATTGAGTGACTCCCCGTGTATAAAGCCAAAATTCAAAGGGATCAAGAAAGATTCCAGGCAAGAGGTGGCATTTACAGTGGGTGTTGATGGATACACAGAGATGAAGAGTAAAGATCTTTCTGGCCTAGAGAATAGTGTTCACGCAGCCCAGAGCACAGGAGCATATAGAATAAAAAAATCGTGCAGGTCTGGTTGTTAGGAAGTGCAAAGTGCATTGTGCTACTATTTCTCCCATTCTACTGCCAAGTCAGGCATCACTAATCCATCACAGGACTGAGCTCAGGGTTCCATTGAGTTCCACTGAGCCCAGAATCAGTATGTGTCTCTTTCAAGACTGGCCTCCAGAAAACCACTACCAACCTGAGATCAGCATGAAGCCAATTCTCCATCCCCAGGCAAAGGCTTAAGGGGGAACCTGGATCCCGGCCAGACACCAAATGCTCAATTCAGAAAACCCACACATTCCAGCTGTTTCATAACAACTGGTCCAGGCTTCCCCAGCAAGCAGGGAACACTTCAGGTCTCTGTTTGGTTTGGAAATCACTTACACTTGCTTTTGTAGCGCTAGCTCCTCAAAGGCAAGCCCCCTGGAAAAGTCACTGCAACTGTGAAATCTTGTTCTGATTCACAGATTTCCGGAGCCAGAAAATTGGCCAGATTAGATTCCAAAGTGCTTGCTCTGAAAGTCAGTAAGATGCCGGCTGTGAGCGGACATAACAAATGAATGGGTGGATGCAGAAACCAACTACCACGTTGTACACAGGTGGTCCTGCCAGCCACAGGGCTCAAAGTGCTTTCCCCGCAGGCCCAAGGACCCTGGGGCCTGGTGAATGATAAGGGAGAGGCCGTTCTTTCTGCTCCTCTGAATAGCTCTATTATTATGCACTCAGGTGGCACACAGCCTCCTGCTTTAGGGAAGTGACATCATGAAACTCAAAAGCATGAGGAGAAACCAAAACAAAGGCTAAATCCTGCTGGTTCTGTCTTCAAAACCTCCAAACCATCCAATTTGCCTCATTAAGCTGGTATCGCCCCATCCAAGCTGCCAATATCTCTTGCCCCTTTCAACCAGTAGTTCTCAGTAGGGAACAATTTTGCACTCCAAGAAACAGATGGCAGTGTCTGGAAATATTTTTGGTTGTCGTGACTTGGTGGAAGGGAGGGTGCTGTTGGGATCTAGCGGGGAGAGGCGTGCTGCTATGGATATACCCAGTAACCCACAGGACAGCCCCTCATCAAGAGAACTGTCCAGCCTGAAATATCAGTAGTGCCATGATTGAGAAACCTTGGTTTTAAAACCTTTGGACTTCACTTCTCATGCCTTCTATTTCCATCTCTTTACATGTAGTGTGATTTTAAAGTACAACTGATAGTTTCTCTGTGCCCTCCGAAAGAATCTAACCCTCTTTCCATGGCTTACAAAGCCCGACGTGGTCCAGCCCCTGCCTCTTTCTATGACCTCATTTCAAACCACTTCCTGGAATACACCATTCTCCTCTCTGCCATGAGCCCCCCAAATGTGGTATTTGTCGACCCCAACCATTCTTCTGCCTACCTTTTATCTGGTGTCATGGGCTGAACTGTGTCCCCCCACCTCCCTGCCTCCCCCACCAAATTTGTATGTCCTAACCACTAGTCCCTCCAAATGTGACTGTATTTGGAGATGGGGGTCTTGAAAAGCTTTAAAATGAAGACATCAGGCTGGCCCTCATGCAGCATGACCAGCATCCTTACAAGCAGAGATCAGGACACAGACACACACTGAGGGAGACCCTGTCTAGATTCAGGGAGAAGATCAGCCATCTCCAAGCCCAGGAATCAACCTGTCACCACCGTTACCTTAGACTTCTAGCCTCCAACAGCCACCCAAAGCAGTACTTTGTTACGGCAGCGGGCACACACTAATACGCCTGGCTACCCCCGAGTCATCCCTCAGACCTCAGCTTAAGTCACTCTGAGATTCCCTTCACTGACACCCAGTCTAAAGCTGATTCCCGTGCTTATTCTCTGGACATGCCCTGGGTTTTCATTTATCCCAATTGTGCTTTACTGAAGTTATTTCTGCGACCTCCCTATTAGACCGCACACCCCCTGCAGGCAGGGAGGCACCGTTCCATCTGACTCCGCACCCTGGGCATCAAGCACTCCACAGGTCTCCACACAAGAAGAAAACCATATGTTCAGTTACCAATCTGCCCCCCATCGCCTGTACTCCTCCTTGGAAAGTTCCATCTACCCCTTGTCTCATCCCCCTCGAATGTGAGTGGGATCTGCACATACACAGTTAAAATAAGGGCCATGTGGGTGTCTGGATTTGTACAAGTAAATTACTACCCTGTCTACTTTAAAAGAGGTTAGAAATCTTTGGGGGCCGACAGCAGGACTTTCTAGTGGCTGAAATATTTATCCCATCTTAGTGTCTTGGGACACATTTAGAATCCCAAAAAGACAAGCATTAGCACGAGGCTGGCTAGCCAGGCTTCCTCCGCCTCCCTTTTCTTTTTTTCATTAAGCTGAAAAATGAAAAAGAGTTGCCCATTTTCACTGCAGCACATCACTTACTTAAAATAACTACACCATCTGCACCAAGAATGGAAAAAAAAAAAAATCCAAACAAAGGCAAACAGCCTGCTGCAGTAGCTTCTTCCAAAATCTCTGGCACCCACAAATTTATACTTGACAAGGGGCCCAAAATGGGCAACTACAAAAACTCAGACAGCTGCTGTATTACACCCAGATCATTCCAGAACATGCAGTTAGCGATGCCGACGTTTCCAGCTGAGAAATGGGAATTCTACTCTGCTGGCGGGAGCCGGCAGGGTTCTGTCGTCTCGTTCTGCTGGTCTTCCCTCCCCACGGGTAGTACCTATCATGATGCAGTGCAGAACTGACATTCGCAAACCATGCCATGTCCCCCTTTCCGATTTCTGTCCAACGTCCCTCATTTTTGTCCTTTGCTTCCCAACAATCTGGGTCTGTAGACTCAATGAACAGCAAAAGCAAGGCACACACAAATGTAAGACACGCATATCGGTTAGTGTTCAATTTTGCAGATCTCGAACATATCTTGCCTAAAACCTCCCCAGAGAATTAACAACCTTTTCCCACTACTTGGTGCCAGCAGACACAGTGTTATGAGGCCACTGAAAGTCACCGTCTGCTTTCCTTGGGACTAGTGTCTTCAAACGCAAACATATGCTCCACGCTCAGGCGCAAATAAGACCAGCAAGTAAGCTGCTCTGCAGCGATCTGTTTGTAAACATCCCTAGAAAATCCCTGAAGGCCACTCCGACTCTAGACTGCTCTTGCATCAGCGTCGGAGAGAACCAGAGACATCTGTCCAGAGCACTCCCCGGAGTCATCTGGTTCTCATCCAACACAGTGCTTCCTGCTGGAGCCTGGCGAGGGGGAGGCTGTCACCAAGAAAGGGACAGTCATGCAAGGCTGGCTGAGTGTGGGGTGAGGAAGTGCTTCTGGCACAGCCAGGTCTCCAGATCCGTCTGGACTCTGCGGGCTGCCCTGCACAGTGACACTATTCCAATAGCTCCGACCTCCATATACCCATCCATTCAAGGAGGACACAACTCAGGGAAACTAGCAAGAAGGGATAACAGGACCCCTGGGCTCAACCCAGGACTGCCAACCCTTGACATTCCCAGATTTCATATTTACGTTTCCATGACCCTGAAGGGAGATGGTGTGTAATTTTGCAGCAGGAATATGTATGGATTAAGCAAGTCACCTGGATGGCGAGTGAGCCCAGCCGTGCCCCAGCACCTGCACTTCACACAGCTTTATGGTCGGTTTCTCCCTTAAAGGGTGAAGCAGCATGCAGGGCCACGTGCTTCCTTTCCTTCTTATAAAACGAGTTAGCAAAGAATGCCTGGTGTTAATGAGGCAAGCAAAGAAGTCCAGGGAAAGGACAGTTTTTCATCAGGAAATAGTTTCATAAATTATTTTTGTCCTGTATTTATAGCCTCATTAAGGGCCTGAAGCTGTTACTTACATTTTTTTGTAATGGTTATGTGTTAGTGCATTTCATGAAGACAATTATGTGGAGGCCACCTTCATGTAACAAGGTTTGCAGAGCTGTCAGGATGCAGGCCCTGGAAGGTCCAGCATTCCCAGTAGGGGCCTGACAGCCACCCCAAAGGATGTTGCTCATCACGATGCTGATTCATCATCACCTTCAAGGTGAGCGATGAGCTCCAGACCCTCCCTGGAGCATCTCTCCTAAGGCTTCCTCCAACAGCCCTCAAGAAAGCCGCTGTTACAGACTTTTCACTGGGGAATATCCAGCATGTACTGAAACACTTATGGAAGGAGTTGAACATCACTGCTTTTCTTTTCTTTTCTTTTTTTTTTTTTTTTTTTGGCCGGGGCTGGGTTTGAACCCGCCACCTCCAGTATATGGGGTCGGCGCCTTACTCCTTTGAGCCACAGGTGCCACCCCATCACTGCTTTTCTACGCCTTACAACAACCCTATGAAATAGGCCCATGCCTATTTTGCAGATGAGGAAACTGAGACGGAAGAAGTAACTTGCCCAAGGTCTCACAGCCAGAACAGGTCTGCAAATGACCTGTTAGTAATATTTCAGGTTGTGCAGGTCAGGAGGCCAAATTAAGGAGATTATGCAAGTGTCTACATAAGAGGAGAGAAAATGACATCTGCAAAATTTCTATTGCTGAAATTCATAATATTTTCATAATCACTGAGGACAATTTTTCAGTAATCCAGGCTTACTATAGAAAAGATTTCTTTGTGAGGGGTTATTGGTTATTATCATTTCACTTAAATGAGGCTCTACGTTCGTGTTCCCTATCATCAAAACACACTGTAAATGCCTGTTTGTTTTTCTTTCCCCACCCTTTTAAACATGTCAAACCATTCTTAGCTCAGGGGAGTGTCTAAAAACAGAGGGTGGCTAGTTTTGGCCCATGTGCCAAGGGACGCCTGTGCTGGAATATGACAAGTCTAAGTAAAATAAGAAATGACAAAGGTGCCCAATCCCAAGGCACTTCTTTCCCTTCCATCCTGTCTCACCACCACCCTCGGGAACAAGCCCCGCTGTTTATTGTCCCTCTCTCTCCACGAAGGCAGATGCCCTATTGCTACTGAATCCCAAACAATCAGCACTCGCCAGGCACCTGAAGGTGCTCCAGATACTGCTGACAGAACGCAAAGGAGATGGAACTCGGCGACCCCCTTTTCATCCCTGACACTTTCAGTTCTGGGATGTATCTAAACCTGATTTGATCCCATTGTCCCTTTGCCATGCCAACCGCAATGGATAAATGAGACCGGGTCTGCCGAACACTTCTGAGCTCTTAGAGGAACAGCACAGACGGGAAGAGCTGCAGGAAGAACTTTCACAAGCACTCGCTTTTCACTCATGATGGCCTCATTGCCAAGGGCCAGGTGCCAGTCAAGCCTGGGAGAGGACGTGGAGCGGGAGCCGTCCCCACATGCCTTCTGCCCTTTTGGCTTCAAGTGGCGGCGGTGGCGGCAGGAAGTCAGTCAGGCAGTGCCACTAAACTGAAGGAGGGGACAAGTTTATGACCAATTTTGTCAGGCATGCGATAAGCCAGGCTTAAGAGCGGGCCAATCAACCCTGCACTTCAGCACCTCTCAGAAACAGCCTCGGGCCAAGACGAAGGATTTCGCTCCAACACCAAGGTCAGCCCAGTCCCATGTGTCCAGGGACAACTGCAACAATCACCACAGTCACTGGGAACCATTCTGCAGCCTGTCCTCTGCTCTGCGCAGATGTCCCCAGGCAAAGCAAGGATGGAAATACCAAAGCCAGCCGAGGAATAGGCCAGAAAAGCAAATGATCTTCATGATGGCCCAAATGCCTATCTTTGTGAGATCAGAATAAGAAAGAATTCCAAATTCAGACTCAAAGTACAGGCCACGTAAGAAAAGACTGAGAAATACAACTAACTAATACAGGAGTAAATAAAACTCCTAGTCACCAACAGATTCCATAAACAAAGTTAAAAGAGAAGCCACCAACGGGTAAAAGATCCCTGCCACCTGTATGACCCACCAAGTATCAGTATGGAGAATTTTCTGATTAAACTCTCTAACACAAGCGACCCAGTAGCAAAACGGACAAAGCTCATGCACAGGTAGGCACTTTCCCTGAGGAGGAAACTCCGACAGCCACTTCTCATGTCCTCAACCTCACTTATAATCAAAGAATGATTAAAGAAACGAGGACACTCTCTTTCACAACCATCAGACTTGCAAAAGTTTGAAGTCTGGCAATCTCAAGTGGCTCAAAGTGGGGAGGGGAAGTCACACGTTGCCGGTGGTGGAGGGACTCTGCAGAGCAGCCTGGCAACTCTTAGGGAAGCTTTGGGGAGCTTTGAGCCAGACTTCTTCCTGCACAGGAGGGGATGAGCCGGAACAAGAGCCTGGGACAACAGCAGGTAAATCCTCACTGCGACGCTGCTGTCAGACCAAACTGTAAGACAAACTCAGAGCTCCTGGAAAGGAGAAAGGATGAGAAAACAGGATATGTCCACACAAGGGAAGATTGCCTAGAGCTTCAACTGGATGCACTAGGGCGGCAGGAGTTAACGTGAATAAATCTGGGCAACTTAATGCCACATGAAAAAGCAGAGTATTGACTACATCCAGCTTAAAAAAAAAATACTATTTTGATGGACACATACAGATGTAAAAATAGTTTTTAAATATACAGGAAATCCTATACTACCGATGTTAAAAAAGAGAAAGAAAAAGAACAAACAGGAAAGATAAACACTAAATTCAAGTTAGTATGTGTCTCTGGCAGATGGGATCAGAGAGGTTATATAACACACTTCAAGATTTCTGCCTTTAAAACAATCTGAGGGGCGGAGCCTGTGGCTCAGTGGATTAGGGCACTGGCCCCATATACCAAGGGTGGCGAGTTCAAACCCAGCCCCGGCCAAACTGCAACAACAACAAAAAAAGCCAGGTGTTGTGGCAGGTGCCTGTGGTCCCAGCTTCTTGGGAGGCTGAGGCAAGAGAATCACCTAGGCCCGAGAGCTGGAGGTTGCTGTGAGCTGTGACACCACGGCACTCTACCGATGGTGACAAAGTGAGACTCTATCTGATCTGAGGCAAGCATGGCAAAATATTAGATTTCAAGGGTGCTGGGAGGCAGGTGTACAGGCTTGCTTTATTGGCAACCTTTTTCTGCCCTTTGAAAAAGTTTCACCAATAAGATTTATTATAACGAACAAAAATTGACACCAAGATTTGAGAAAACCCATGAAAGACATACAGGGACTGTTTATCACTATAGTCTAGCTTCAGAAACCCCATCCATGGTAAAGGAATATGAGCTGAAAGGGGGCACGTGTTTACACTGGAGAAGAAAGAGCAAATGCCCGGACATCCATGTGGGAGATTCGGTCTATTTTAATGAACTCTCTTCATTTTCTGAAAGGCAGCAACAGTTGTAGGGTAGAAGCTGATTGCAGAGGAAAAAATAAACATATCTCATAAAATAGATTTACCCACACAACTTACTAAGCCATGACGTTCCAAAAACAGAAATAGTAAGGCCGAGCCAGTAGGCCAGACATTTCTTAAGCACTAACTTGGTGAGAAGTCGGGGTGGGAAAGCAACACTACAGCTGCCTTCCTCATAATAGTCCACACTGTTCACCCTCTACATGGACGCAGCTCAGACTGGCTCAGCGAGGGACAGCCAAGGCTGTGACTTGGTACGTCGGAACCCCTAGCTTTTGCCACTAAGGCGGCAAAAACCAGGGTGGCCAGACAGGAGAGGAGGTCTGAAGGGGGTGCCTGGCAGGGGGTTCACGGAAACCAGACAGTGAAGCCCAACCCTGCACCCTGTCCCAACCCTTCTACTGGGAAGACAGCTTGTTAAAAAGAAGATGGGCTCAGGAGTCATCAAACCTGGGATGAAATGCCTCCTTCCATTAGAAAGCTTTTGAGATACCCCCAAATATAAAATCCACATATGGATGGAAACAAATGAGGTCCTCCCAGCAACACCAATAAGCCAGGCAAGTTGGAACTTGCATGGTGCGTTAGAAAGGACACCGCTGACTGTGTTTCCTGGAAGTGAAATAGCGGACTATAAGACAGTCTGTCTCAAAACTTTCGTAGTGACCCACATATAACCACAACTAGCTGCGCAACCTCAGACAAGTGAGTGATCCTCTCCGATTAGGTCATGGCACGTCCCTGGCAGGGTTGCTGAACGTGCATGTAGATACAGGGATAATATGTACATAAAACAGGAGGATAAAGTGTTTATAACAGAGTAGGTGGCATTATACTCAGGATTTACTAAACAGGTATTTGCTGCTCCTTCCTCCCTCCGTGCATTTCTACTGACTGTCCTCAGCACAGAGCTGACAGGGTACTGTTAGTGGAATCCAGAGAAGGCTGGGTCTCTTTGCTCTCCTTGCTTCTCTAGAAAAGGTACAAACTGGGCAGGTAGGAAGCTTGCTGGAATTCCCGTTGGCTGGTTGGTCACCTAGATCCAGAAAAGCCAAATGTCTGAGGAGGAGCTCACAATACAGACCCTGGCTATGTCTGTTCTAACACACAACAACCTCAGCTCAGCTATTCCTGAGAAATTATTAGCCTTCTGTAAATCATTCCTAGGGCTCATTAATAGCAGCCAAACTACACACACGAGCCATCCTTTCAAACAGGTGGCTGCGAGGCAAATCAAAATAGGAAGGCAGACAGGACTCGGTATTGGGTTTGGGGGAAGTTGTTCACCTCCCTGGGCCTTAGTTTCCCCGTGTGCAAACTAAGACAGTAAGAGATAACATCCAAGTTCCTTTTCAACTCTCAACTTGCTCACTCTTTGTTTCTGCGGACCCATGCCCGTCCCCACAGCAGGCAAACACATACCACCACCCTGTCAGAGACAGATTCTTCAGCTTCTAGAAATAATACCTGGGGTGTATACAGAGGTCCTCCTCTAAATAAATGAAAACATCCCGGGAAGGCAGGTACTGAAGGTAGGTCATCCTAAAACCACCCAGTTCTGACCTTGGCCCTTTAGAACTCTGACCTCGTCCCCTGCGCACTTGGAGATGGCTGGTTCCAGGCTCCCTAGCAACAAGAGTAAATAATCTCCAGGGAGCCTGGAATCAGACCTGCCTCCTGCTCCCTACAGATTAAAAGGCCTCTCCGGTTCACTCCAATTATCCACAATCTTCCATCATGTCTCAGGAAATGAACGATTGTTTGGCTTATCACTTCCGATTAGGAGAGGAACTCTGCCAGGGAAATCACAAATGCCAGCCTGTTACCGCCAAGCGAGCGGGGGGAGTCTATGCATAGTAGCCGGTGTGTCTTTTTAAATTTTCTTAAGTAACTTAATCCATTAAACTGGTCTGTCCTGCTTCTACAATCTACTCACGCGGGCACCCTCGCTCCAACGCCGAGCCAGGCGACAGGCCCTCCATCATGAGGAATTAGCTGACTTCTTGAGCAAATGATGTTTGTACATTCAGCAAGTGCCAGTGTTAAGCAGTATTTACGGCTGGAGCCCCCACTTCAGTCCGCGTGTCTGAGTGACTGCAGACCTCAGACCTCCGGAGTGAGCAATTTACCTTTGCCAGAGACTCACCAGATGTGGTAGATCTCTTTCCAAGGGCTGAAACCGTGCAGATGAACCAGTGTGGGGTTTTCAGATTACAAAGGGTATCATATGACCATCCAGAAGACAACACGAGTTTCCAAATTAAAAAAGGATTACAGAGCTTTGCTCATTTGAGTCCGCACTAGAGCCCACAAACTCTGAATTCTAATGTCACGCCTTCCAAGCGCAGGGAAGGATTTAACTTCTCTGTGCCTCACTGTCCTCACCTCGAAAACAAGAGCTTGGCCAACCGCAATAGAGATAAGCTCCCTGGGTCATCAAAGGGCTGTTCTGTCCAGCTTGGTAGCAGAGCCACACAGTCCCGCACCTCAAAACATCAGAACTCTCACCGGGTACCACTCACACCAGAAAACCCCCCAAGGAAAAAAGAAAAAAAAAAGTACTGAAATCCAGGGGAAGCTTCCAGATTTTTTACACATTTTATGACAGCCCAGAAGATAAATTGGAGCTTCTTCTTAAAGGTATTATTATTCATTATTAAAGAATTACTATAATATTATATAAAGACTAGATGTAATAAAGGTACATAACATGTCGTTTCATAAGACATACCATTCTGATGTGGTTACATAATTAATAATTACAGGAAGGGTGATCTGAACTGTAACCAGATCCACCTCACACTAAATACAGTTCAGCAGACTAACACCAGCTGAGATGAAAGCAGGAATAGGGCAGGAAACAATGTTTCCACAAGTTGAATAATGTGCCCCACCGTGTGGCCCCCCATTGTGGAGGTTACTCCGCAGGTCTCTGCTTTCAAGGTCGCTCAATACCAAGACATCGGAGGAAGTCAGAGGCTCGGTGAACGCTAAGACCACGATTAACCTTTAAGTGCATTTAAACCCAACAGACCACGTGCTCCCTAATTCCCTGACATCCTGCCCATTCCTACCTGCATCTCCCTCCAGACTCTGTCCTAATAATGTCACCAACTACCTCCCTAGCCTCCCAACCACTGAATCTAAAGGGTAATTGTCGGGAGCCAAATGACGCCAGATGGCCGCCCATCCCCACTGTCTGGAGTATGCTAACCTTTATCAGATAAGGAGCTGCTTTTCCCTTATCAGACAAGGAGCTGTTCTTCCCAGAGAAGCCATAAAATGTTTCAGACACATCGTTTGCATTCCCAGCAGG